AATATGTCTTATATATTTAGGTGAAAGAGATTTAAAAGACCATATTTTTCTTTCCACATCACAATTGTACAACTTTAAATAGAAAAAATATAAAAATAACTTAAGTATCCTAAAAAAATAAGAAAAACAAAGAAAAATCGGATTAGCCAAAATCCATTTTTGTTAAACTATTTGTGTCAATTTGGTAATATCATCTTATAGATTCTATATATTATTATAACAGTAACTTGATCCGAAGGGTCGTATCACGTCGAGTTGACAGGCGCGGATCATCAGATCTAACGAGAAGCGAAGGGTCGGAGACGTGATACGGCTCTTTGGATCAAGTTACTGTTATAATGATAAATTTATTATATACCCCCTCACAACTAGTAAAATATAGCAAAAGAAAACTTTACAGATCAATTGCATAACATTTATCCATAAAACAAAGCAAAATAACAAGGGACTTTTTAACGCGCAAGAAAAATAACGTCATTTTTCTGCGAACTACGTCATCAGTTTCAGAGAGTGGTGATATGGATTCAGAAAACAACATGTTGGTGATCCGGAAAATCGGATCACGACGTCACGTGATACTGCAAATTCAACAGTAAAAGTGGTTGATACACATTGGGTATATAATAAAGTATGGTAATATCTTTTTATGCAAAAAGAAAAACATTTTATCTTTTGAAATAGAAGACCCTATTTCATGTTTGGATGCAGTTATTTTTATTCTTAATGATCAGGGAAAAGGTAATGACCTTGACTCTAATATAAAACGGTCAAAACTAATCTAACTAATACCATCACTTGATAATATTGTCTTCTTGATTTTGTGAAAATTTCATTAATTTTTAAATACAAGAAATACAGTTTTGTGTGAGAAGGATCCTACCTTTTGATGATAACTCTGGAAAACCTATTCGAAAAAAATAGTTTAAATTTAATTCAAATTACTATACGTTTCTAATTCCTTTTAGTATAGTTGAAACACTGTAGGGCTACAAGGATGAGACTTAATTGCACTCCTGTACCAGTAGTGGTGGCATCTCTGCCAAGGTATGTGCAGTAGACCTTGTGCCCCAAGCCGCCTACTGATTTTCCTAATTTCTCCGAAAAGTATCTCCCAAATCTGGAGTAATCGCTGTCCTACATTCCTTCACCTTACTTTAAAGCAAAACAAGATATGGGTATGCAATACATCTTGCCTTAATTTCTGTTCTTTCTACTTTAAATTACTCAAGACATTCACTGAAATATAAGCACAGGGTCAATCTAATAGAAAAAATGGGTATTACTATATACGGTATATTGTATATGATCCCCTTTTATATATCATGTATATTTCGATATATATGATTTCGATACCAATAATATATTCTTTAATACATCCCCAGGTTTGCCAAGTGGATCCTGATAGATAATTTTGCGGGATTTACGTTCCAATGAAAGTAGACAAATAATGATGACATAGAAAACTTGCGCGCCATCTAGCGTTAATTCAGGTAATGTATGTTTTTGCACGCCATCTAGCGTCAATTCAGTGAATAATCGTTGGTTTCGCATTGGTGATCGTTGGTTCTGCATCGGAGTCTGTTGATTTTGCAAACGAGTCTGTTTTGTATTTCATTATGTTTATAAAATTAGTTGTTATTTGCATAAACGTCATTTTTCCCTTTCCACCGCCCATACATGTGTACCACACATGATGAACGTCACTTTTCGATGTTTGTGTACCTGATTATGGACACTCGTCAACTACAAATCGGCTTAAAGTGTGCGTCTCTGCTTTCTTTGAAAGTCTTAATTCTTCATTCAAAGCAGATGATATGGATGTTTTTTTTTATTTTAATTTTTTTTTTAAATTTTAGTAAAGCCCTAGGTTAGTTTTTTCTAGGAGTGAAACTTTATAGGAATAAATACTTATGTTGACATGCTATTTGCCAATCAATGATATATTTATATTTGCCAATCAATGATATATTTATAAACTCTAAACGTTTTGACTTTATACCACACATAGTTTTGGAGCTATTGTAAAAATAATTTTTATTATCGAATGAAAATGGAAGACACAAAAATGATCAACATGGGGGTATCAGTTTTTATGGTGCAAATGGTATGAGTACTATTGATTATCTAATAACAAAGAATGAAAACGCTAGTAACATTGTAGATTTTACTTTAGGAGATTTTTCTGTTTTTTCAGACCACGCACCAATTATTTTTTTCTATAGGTGGTGCATTTAAAGAAAGTGAGGTTGTTTGTGGTCAAGAGCAATCAGATAGAACGGTTTTTAAATCAGTAAAATTGGTTGAAGAAAATGTAACGCAGATAAATACTACTCTCGGCAATAACTATGACTTGCTTTCTGATTGTCTGATTCATTCGTTTGATAGTACAGAAGTAAATCAGTGTGTTGAAAATTTTTGTAAAACATAATGTGAATTAATTCTGCCATACTGTAAAATTATACGGAATAATAGCTCTATATATTAATATGAATAGAAATATTAATTCAAAACATACTGAAGATAAACCATGGTTTAATGAAGAGTGTAAGACAAAGTACATAGAATATGAGACAGCTCTAAACCATTTCAATAAACAGAAATCTACTGATAATAGATTATTATTAGTTAATAAAAAAGCGGCCTACAAGAAAGTTATGAAAAAATGTAGACACAATTACGAGAGACATCAAGGTAATAAAATCGAGTATATTCGGATGTATAACCCTAAAAAAAATTTACAAATTGTTTCAACGTAAGAAAGGGCAAAAAGTTCAGATTTATCGGCTAACAATTTCTTAGAACATTTCAAAACCTTGCCTGAATGTAATACAGAAAACAATAGGAATAATGAATTTAACTACGTAGAGACACGATCATCAGTATACTGTGAATTAGATCAGGAAATTACGGAACAAGAAATTGAATATGGTATTGATAAATTAAAACATGATAAAAGTAATGCAGAAGATTGCATGATTAACAAATTCTTCATTCATTGTAAACAAATACTCATGCCTATTTTATGCATGTTGTTTAATAAAATCTTTACGTCAGGTCATTATCCAGAGAGCTGGGCTACTGGGTGTATAGTGCCAGTTTTTAAGAAAGGGGATAGTAATAATCCTAATAATTATAGGGGAATCACACTTGTTAGTTGCATGGCTAAATTATTTACAAGCATATTAAATAATAGACTGATGCATTGGGATAAAGAATATAACATAATTACAGACGCGCAATTTGGATTCAAGACAGGTGCAAGAACCATTGATGCGATATTTGTTCTACAGACATAAGTTAACAAATTCTTAAGGAACAAAAGAACACTTTATTGTTTTGTAGATTATCAAGAAGCCTTCGATTATATCAATAGAATTAACTTGTGGCTTAAAATTAGTACTCAGGGTATTCAAGGGAAATTATTTTGTATTATCAAGTCTTTATATGATAATATCAAGGCATGTGTAAAATATAATGGTCTACTTACAGAGTATTTCAAAATTACGTCTGGTGTTCTACAAGGTGAAATTTTATCACCATTATTATTTTCTATGTATTTGAATGACTTTGAACGTCACTTTATTACAAATAATTGTCCATCAATCGAACCGCAGATGATAAATATATTTTAACTGATGTATGCAGATGATACTGTTTTGATATCTGACTCAGCTGAGTGTTTACAAAGAATGTTGGATGCATTATATACATACACAACGGAGTGGAATCTAACTGTTAATGTTGAAAAAACAAAAATTAAATTTTTCGCAATAGTCGTAAAATACTTAAAAATGAACGTTGGATATACAACGGTTGCAATGTTGAAGTTGTTAATCGGTTTAATTATCTAGGTATGTTGTTTAATTATAATTGAAAATTTACTGAAACACAGAAACATTTTTCATGTCAAGGTAATAAAGCTATGTACGGTGTAAATAGTAAAATCAGGGATTTGCATTATAACGTAGAAACACAATTAGCTGTATTCGATACGTATGTTAACAGTGTTATGAGTTATGGTGCTGAAGTATGGGGATTTCACAAGGGTCAAGACATAGAAAATGTTCACTTAAATTATTGTAAAAGAGTCTTAAAGGTCAGACAAAGCACTAGTAATGATGCAGTTTATTGTGAAACAGGTAGATTTCCACTTATACTTGAAAGGAAAAAGAAAATTTTGAAATACTGGGTGAAATTAAAAGACAGTGATAATTGTAGATTACAAGTATGTTATAAAGATATGGTTGAAAATAATGATGAATGGATTGTAAACATTAAGAAGGAATTACAAAGACTTGATTTAGCTGACATGTATAATAGTGATTGTATTAATAATAATACTCTGAACATTATATTTCAAAGAATGTATGACTGTTATAAACAAGAAATTATGGCAAGAATTTGTAATTTATTTAAGAAAACCATTGCATTATAAGTATAGAATACCTATCAGTCGTTTAAGGCTATCAGCTCATGATTTAAGAATAGAAAGGGGAAGGTATAGTAATATAGAAAGAAAAGATAGAAAATGTGAAATATGTATGTCAGGTGAGATAGAGGACGAATTTCATTTTGTATTAAAATGTCCTCGATATGAAGAACTTAGAATTAAATTTATTAAGAGTTATTATTCTAAAAAACCATCAGTATTTAAATTAGTACAGCTACTGAGTTCTACAAATACTAAAGAACTATGTAACCTGGGCAAATTTTTGTACTTTTCTCATCAATTAAGAAATGATGTTCTAAATAATTAAATGATATTGTTATGTAATTAACACATGTATATTGTATAGCCTGTACAAATCTTAAGTATGAATATTGTATATCTATGAGATGTAATGTCTCCGGTTGAAATAAAATACAAATACAAAATCATTTTACATTGAACTCATTACTAGTAATTAATCTTTGACTGGATGGATGTCCACTAATTAATGTCAAGGGATGAATGGATCTTAACTATCTCCTTTTTAGTGCAATCAAAATGCATAATTGTGTCATTCTGAAATTAAATCAGAAAGCAAAGCTTTTGTATAATAAATTTGTTACAAAGATTTATACAAAAAAAAGGGGGCATGCCGATTCCAATACCCCCCCCCCCTCCCCCAACACACACACACACAGCATAATTAGTTTTAATTATAAGATTATACAATATCAAGTAAGTATATTATACAATATCTTATTAGTTTAAATTGCTTTTTCTCAAAGTCATTAAATAAGTTAGGCTTGTCACTAAAACTATTTAAGCTTAAGGCTGATTCCTTCACCCAGGTCCCAAGGGATATAAACAGAGATATTCTACCAGTTAGTTCCTTACACCAAACTAATTAATTTCTCTCTAATTTGACATGATTTGACATGCAATTTTCTGTTACGAAATTCTCCTTGACCAGTGCTTGATAATTATACCCTTGGGACAGGTAGATTATCTCTTATAAATAACATTTGTTATGGATTGCTGTAAGTATATAATGAAAAATTTTTTTTCTTAATTTAACCTTTTTTAAATAGGGATATAGCTGCGCACTCTTACAATTTTGGGGATTTGTGTAATTCAGTAGTAAAATAATTTTTTTTTTTAAATTTAACTTAAATTAAAGGTCACAGTGGCCTTGAAATAGGCTGTGATATACCTTCTACCCAAGATGCATAAATTGGCCAAGTTTGATGCTTGTAAGTCTAACAGTTTTCTAGTTATGAGCCAAACAAAACCACAAAACGAAACAGAAAAAACGCCTGTAAAATGCATAAAAATCATCCAATTGTCCTGAAAATACCAGGTGCACACTTTCATATGGTTAATAATAAGCGTACAAATTTTCAGACAAATCCATCCAATAGTTTCTGAGACAAAGTCTTGTCTACAGACGGACGGACAAACGGACAGACAGACGGACATGCTGATTCCAATATACCCCCCTAAACTTCGTTTGCAGGGGTATAAAAATCATACCTCTGAGTAAATGTAAAAGGGCATCTGCATTTTCACACTGTTGCTGTCTCACATAAGAAAAATGAACAACAAACACATCTAGAATTCCCGAGTGATCTGTTCTGACTTTAGCATGAATAATAACTCTTTTATTTGTGTCTGGTCCCTGCTGATATGGAACAACCTTTCTATTTGCAGACACAATAGGATATCTGTTCAAAATTCCAATACCTAAAACATCACAAACAAGGGATGACTTTGTGTTTATTCTTGACAAAAAATTACAGCATTAGCAATATTATCATGATTATGTTCACTGTATCAAAATATGAAAATTACAGCAATAATGTTCACTGTATCAAAATATGATAATAAAAAAAGAACATCATAAATATTTTAAATTCATTAAGGAGTTTTTACCATGGATGTAAAATTTACTTTATTACTACAGTGTTTATGCCCACAATATAAGGATAATTATGTTGATGTAAAAATCATTCAACATGAAGAGTTTTCTTATCTCTTTAGTTAATGAGGCTTACTGTATGTCAGACTAAAAAATTAATCATGCACTCATATTATGTCATTCTACATTAAGAATTAACCTTTCACAGAATGTTGGATACCTTCTCCCTTCCATCCTCTATGAATCAAGTTATCCTTCCTTGACACATCATTTGCTTTACTTATAAATGACCACTGGTATTCAGGAAGCAGTTTCTGAAGATCAGACACCTGGTTCCTTCCTGTTTCAGCATCAAATCTCACCTCTTGAAAACCAATGACATCAGACTGTTCTTCCCTTATCTAAAAAGACATGCATGTTTACAGAACAACGGTTGCCTTTTCTGCAGCCAGACAGAATTCCTTATTCAGGTCTAGCACAATCTCTTGATTTAGCTATATAGCTTGAAATAGATATATTGCTTTGCTAAGCTTATTAATGCAAATCTAAATCAAAGATAGTTCTAATATTGCAGCTTTTGAAACATAACTATTTCCATTGTTTCAGTAACTGTGCACTATGCATGCTATGCGTGTGATAAAATCCAAAGGGCATTTTAATAGAACATTTGATCACATTATTCATGTTATTATAATGAATATAATGATTATAACCAACTTCATCATGTACATGTCATATCATTCTGCCAATGAACACTCTAAATAACAATTTTGGATTGATATCAGGGATCTCATTAGCTGCAGAACTGTAGCACTCCGAAAAATAATATACTGAGGGGCCGATCTGTCAATATATATATTTTTGGAGAGCTATTTTTCTGCAGCTAGGATCTTATGGATCCCTGCAGATATGCAGACTATAAAATAAATATCAGATCTTGATGAAACACACCATTCTTGCAATTCGATATTTTCTAAGATTCCAGTTAAACATTATGTTCCATAAATTGTATGTTGTAACCTTCATCAGGCCGAATACTGGCGATGTCAAATAAAAACGACAACAATAATGTGATGATAAGCATTTTTCTTCCATTATCCGGGCACCGTCCAAGTTTGTGTTCCGAATTATTTTCAGTACAAGAACTTTGATTAAATAAGATTTTACTACTTGACGATTTAAACCAATCTACATGTAATTCTCAACCACATTCTTAGAAGTGTCCATTTTCGCCTTCGTGAACAGAAGAGCTAATGAGCAACTACCAATTTGTAAACATTGCATACAGTAGCAAAAAGATATGGATTTTAAAGCATTGCTACAAGCAGAAATTAACAGAAAAAGACAAAAAGTAGAATCGAAAGACATACTTGTAAGCTTTTTACATTTTTCTTGCATTAAACTACACGTTGAAGATCTGAAATATTTTTTGTTTCATGTAAAACTTTTTTTATGATTTCAGACACCAAATAAATTAAAGTATTTCAAACGAGGAGATTTAACAGCAAAGGAAGAGGAAGAATATTGGAAAAGACAAAAAAGAGGCAATGACAAAAAACAGGAATCTCCAGAAACGGTTGTCATTTTGCCTTTATCATGTTTACCATACATCTGATCACTTGCAATATTAACCAGCCAGCTAGATTAAAGTCCCTGTAATGGTCTGTCAGGTTAATCTACCACTTTCAGTCAGTTTATCTCGTGATTTCAGAAATCTTCCAAATCTCAGACCAAGTGTGCCTCACAAAATGATTTGAGAGAACGTGCTTGAATTCTTACCGTAAAATTTAACATTTTTATCATGTTTATTCACAGAAAATTTATTTCCGCATAAATAAATTTTTACCTAAACTTACATATGAAAATAACTAATATTTGTGTAAAACTTTGTCTCTTTATAAATCCCCAAATCACATTTTGCTATTACGAAAATACGGAAATCGGAAATACGCTCGTTTGGAATTTACCAGTTAGTTTTGGTTATGATCTGTCTTAGTTTCAAGCTTTTAAACGCTAAAAAAGAGAAAGATTTCAAACACATCCATGATGTCAGGTTGCCAAAATGCTGTGGTTTTATAAAATGAAAAAGCCCATTTGTTAAACCATGTTTTTGTAATCAGAAAAGCAGTTGTTCTCCTTTATATATATTAAATATCGACGGAAAGTGAAATCTTACTGGCAAATGCAAAATCTCATGGACAATTCTAATCGCAAATACTGAGAGACAATGACAATGAAATGGGTTCTATTCTAGTACATGTATTTTACTAAGGTACATGTACTACTAACATGACTAAATGTTCTAATTATAATCATGCTATTAAATTGAATATCAGGAGAAAGATACACAAGAAGAGCTTGTAGGACAGTCTGAAGAAAAGGTCCCTCAACTGGCAAGAAAAGAGGTATTTATTGTCAAAATAAGTGATGCCAAAAAACTATATACGTTTGAATCATTGTACAGTGTTTATTGAGGTTCTATTTTCATTGGCAAACAAAAATACATTGGTTAGTTTGGACATAATTTTGTGAATAGCACATATATTCCAAAGACTGAATATTCAATACTTTGGAAAGAAAATAAATGTTCATTGGGATGAATCTGAGGGTAAGGCCATAGGGCAACCCACTGTGGCCACAAAATCCATGAATATTCAAGTCCCACAAAAATGATTCCACAATATCCATCAGTTAAGAGTTTTTTGTTGAACAGACAGACAATGCCTGAACTGTGATGGGAATTGTTGAATTTTAGTAGGACAGTATTACAGTACTCATTTTATTGATTTATTTAGCATGAAAAATTTGAATTCTTTATTAAAGTGCTTAATTTGTAATTGCCAATTAGAAAAAAAAACTTATTCTTTTCTATACATGTGAACTTTAAGCATTTAAAAAAGGGGCTAATAAGATTTAAATAACTTGTAAATACATATACATGTAGAATTGGAATGGTCAAGTTGTATTTATTCTTAATATTTATTCTTAATTTAAATACATAATTTAAGGGGGATGTACGGCCACTTTTAGTGCAGTGAGAGCAAAATGTAAACATTTCTTCAAATGGCTAAAATACATTATATTTTGATCAAATTTTAAGTCTTTTTGATAAAGATACAATAAATATGCATAACCGAATGCATGTTGTGCATATATAATCTATACTTCTGCAGAAAAATGCTTTTGATATGCTCCTTAGAACTGCGCAGCTACAGAATTCAGCAGAGCCTTAAAAAATCCAAAAAAATATGCAAACTGTGTATAAATGTTCTCTCTACAACCATTTGTTGAGAAAATGTCTAAATTTTGCACTTTTAAATGATAATTTCAAGTTCAAAACAAGGTACCGTTGTCTTCAAAAAGAGTGTAAAGAACCATGAAAGTAGTTCATGGATAGCAGCACGTGGTCTATTTTTAGCACAGAATCTTGTTTTCCAGACCTCTTCTTAATATGGAGGGGCATAACAATCTTTAAATGTAGAAGAGAATTACAGTTGCAAAATATTTCAAATAATATGAACACTTTTAAAAGAGGAAAGGTGTTATAGTGTGGCTTGAAGTAATTTATTTAGTATTATTACCGAACAGTTGTTAAATAGTTTACGTATTTATTTAAAAAAAAATTAAACTCTTTGATTCCAGGTAAGGAAAAATAAGCACCATCAAAGTTAAAAATTAAGAGTTTGTAAGTTTGCCACAGATAAATTATATTATCTATTAAAATTTTAATTATCACCAATAAAACACAAAGAAATTAGACACATAAAAATTGATACGAATGACCTTGTTTTAGTACCTACTAGTACGAAGCGTTATCAAAAAGTTCGCGAAATATCTCTATATCTACAAAACCACAATTCAGATTAGATAGCCAAACACAAGTTCTATAAATAGCATATGCTGAAGTTTTCTTCCTTGTTTGTGATGTCACAATCTGAAAATGACGTCATTATTCAGGTACTTTTGACGAAAAATGGTTGTCTCAGTGAAACTCGTTCAACAAACGACTATAATATTTATGGCACATGTATATCTTAGAAATGCCTTTGAAGTAGCGTATAAGAATTTGTTCACAGTTTATTAAATGGCCTCCTATAATTTTAATCAATGATTGGATATCGTTTTAGTGAAGGAAGGCAGGTGGTTAAATATGATACTTGTTATGTTGCCCGGTGAAAGCAAGTTTGAAAAGGGATGTGTTTTTTAACAGCAATATTCTATCAAAGACCTTCAATTAAAATTTTACACTTTGAAAAATACTTGAATATTTCAACAATAATATAAATATCAAATACCTAAGATATTGTTTACTTTTTTATCACCACTCGTATACTGTGTCAAATAAACATGCATTTACAATTTTCATTACAGAGGAGCAACAGTTGAAAAGGCATGAAATCATTCAGAGTGGGTTAGGAGATTTAATGAATAATTTTTTTTTCTATTTGCCCATATTTTCAAAATTACAAATGTACAAAGTAAAGAGAAAAAAATCAACATATAAACATCTTTAAAATGATGTTTGGTGGTCCTCCCAACTCAGGGAAAAATTATTGGGTCCGTATTTATAGGTGAGAAAAAAATTCCTTAAAATTTAAACAGAATTGTTGACGGAAGAAAAAGAAAAAAATATCGTGTAATGGGATGTTAAAAAAATGAGTCGGGCCATTTCTAGGTAGTAGATCGGGAGAGAGGGCAACCAAATATTTTTATAACAAGTGGTCTTATAAAGCTAGTACATGTTCCATCACATACTTAGTAATGCAATTTTTTTTAATCTTTGACACTATTTTGAAAAACAAACATAGGATTTTCGGGGCGGAGGGGGGGGGGGATTAACACTCACTTTTTTTGCGATGATAGACTAGCATATGCAATGGACCTTTCTTTGCAAACATTGTGCTCGCTTCTAAATTTCATAGAAACAACTCATTATATTTTATCAAGCTTCGTATGTTCAATGAGCGAGAGCTTACAACGTTGTCAACATAATGAGACATGATGCTTTTTTGTGTCCAAACATGACCCCATACAATGTGTGGGTCATTGCAAACATTCTAGCTATTTATGTGAGGTGCCTGAAGGAAATCCTATAACTGCCTATTTTTTCTATCTAACTTCTAAACAAAATAGACGTAAGTACCAACTTTTCGAATGTAAGACATGTAATTACAATTTATTTTTCATGCACTGCATATTGTTTAACATTTTCAAATTAAATGCTAAGCATCCTCCTTGCAGTGCCCCATTTGAAAATAACTTCTATCGCCACAGAAAAAAGACCCTCCGTAAACACAAATGTTTAGGACATTTTTATCTTTTTTTCTTGAGTTTTAAAGAAACCAACAAATTATCAAGACTTGTTCCATAAAAATTAAATATAATCATGGTAATAAACGTCAGCAGATATATACACATGCCAACCATGTGCTTAGTGGAATAATATTAACGAGGAATTTCGAGTTGTAAACAGGACAGTTTTTCCCGATTTGCTGGAGTGAGGTTAAAATCGCGTTTTTTCATTAATCAGACGATGCGATGCAACAAATAAAAGTAGTAAGTAATATAACCTGATGATTATTACTTAGTAATTTCTTGTCTTGATGTTATTATGGTCGCATTTATTCTAAAATCATTGTTATTCGAACTCTGTGTGACAGAGGAATGGCGGACGAAATAAACACATGGCCTCAGGAATACACCCGTATGAAAAATCAAATTTTCAAGAATTATGGATAATGACAAGAAAAAAACGAAACAAATGGTTGTAGCCATATTATCAATGAATCAAACTAACTCCATTTTCAATGCATTTTTCATCTCATGAATGCTGTAGCTGCGCAGTTCTAACATGATTAATTTTCTTCTAATTAAGACAAAATAAACTTAATTATTTACTAATTTTGGTCTCTAACTGTAGGTAATTAGTGCATTAGCACTTTGAGTAACTTTGAGCTAGTTTAGTAGAGTATTAAGCGCATTCTTGGTATTTCTTAGTTTACAGCAGACTAGATCCAATATGGCTTGTACATCCCCCTTAAAGGAAAATTTGTTCAAACTTTTGAAATGCACTAAAAATTTCTTTGGAAGAATCTGTCAAAAAAGTAAATGGCAAAGATATTGATCATGGTTTTGAATGCTGACAGAGTGACAGTCCCTTTATAATGACAGGTATTGGACTTTTACGAGGAGCGCTGACTTTCACAGTTGACGCTTACTTTTACACTAGGGCTATGTACGGTAGCTTTTTTATGACATAAATATTTAGCTCAATGTTTCATTAAACGAAAATAACGGGTTATTTCAATGCAATATAAGTTGTCTTTGAAGAAAACGACAACCAACCTACCCTCAACTCCCGGTCTTCACACGTAAGTGCCCCTAACACCATACCTATGACCACTAGAAAGGTTTTCTTATGCATTATCAATTCTGTACTTCCGTACATGATACAAGTTTAAATGTCCAAGTAAACCGTCAACTGTAGAAGTCAGTGCTTCTCGTAAAAGTCCAATAAGAAGACTTAGAGAGAGACACGAGCCTATCCGACTCTCTGGGGAGAGTGATTATGAAGCTTATCTTCGACTAAAAAGACTGGAAACTGACGGCCCTGATGCCAGAGAGGTATGTTATTTGTTTCAAAAGAAAACCATAGTTTTAGTTAAGATTTGTTCAAGCTTTTTTTTTTTTAGATAATACTGCAATAGTTTCAATACACAATTTACAGATATAAATGATTTGTGCTTTCAAACAAAGATGTTTTCCCCCATGTTTTCTGTAATGAGCATCTATCACAAAGGTGGGTCTCAATAATTACATGTACCCAATATTGCTAGGATACAGGTAGATACAAAATACATAGATCTATGCTTGTATATTACCAATGTTTGGCATTTTCTGTTAACAGGAGGGTTTCAGGAATGAGTTCAAAGCAGCTATGGACAACGTGGACGAAGACTATTTCAAAGAAATGGTAGAAGCTGCCACGTCGGGCGAAGGTGGCAAAAAGTCAAATGATGTCTCAATCAAAGATGACGGATACCATGGTGGAGGACATTTAGCTACACTTTATTCAGTCCTCACTTAATTCGGTAAAAGTGTATTCCACAAACCATAAATTTTAAACAAAACTAGAGCCGAGCTCGTTGCAAAGCAACGAGTAGGTCTTCCGTCCTGTTTGACCGGAAGTAACTTTTATTTAAAAAAAAAAAGAAAAATGACGTCTCTAATGATTTAAATCTTCCAAATCTATGTTGATAATTGCAAAAGTAAGCAATTTTTGCTACTTTCTGTTCGACCGGAAGTGACATCGACGGACGGAAAATTAAGTTTTATACTTCCAGTGACAAATATTTCCCAAAAACGTGTCAAGAACGGCAAAAATATGCATTTTCTGACTACTTCCGGTTTGGCTCTTTTAGGCGTTCTAATTTTTTACCCCTATGTAGCGCCATTTTGAATACAGAAATCGAAAAACAAAAACCGATGTGCACAACTTCAATCCTTCTATTATCTAAAATTAGTAGAATTTCTGTTCCAGCCTTTGTGGTCTCTGAGCCTTTATCTGGAAATGAAAGCCTATAAATTTTCGTTTAAAGGGAAATAACTCAAAATCGGAAGTGAATTTTTGAAATATTAGACAACATTCTAATAGAGTTTAGTAACATCTATAAACTCTGAAAATTTGAGCGAAATCTATTGCGAAATGAGTGAGATATGAGGCTTCAAATTTGTCGTCTAGGAAGTAGAAGGAAAAAAAAGAATAATAATCTTTACCAACAGAATCAGTAGAAGGTCTTCCGTTTCCAACTTAATTAATACAATTAAACTTTGTTTTTTGGAACTAAATGGGACAAAGGAATAGAAATTTAACAAAACCAATAACTCAAGGTATGGAGGTTAAAATACTTGAAGAAAAAGTGGTTGGGGCTTACAAATCACCTTGATATATCTATATGTTTTTAAGATAATGATCACTGAGATTCTCGATGATTGATTATATATATGAATTTTTTAATGGAAAAGCTTTGAAAAGAAAATAGTCAGGCTTGTTTAAACATACTGTTCTTGGACATAAGCCAAACTTTTTACAGAAAGTTAGTTTTATTGAAGTAATTAGTTAAAATGCATGTTTCTGTTTTTTGTATATCTAAATATAAGCTGTAACATTTTTTTTATGAATAGAAAATGAAAGAAGAAATAGGAAAAGGTGACTCAGGGAAAAACTCTGATATAATTCTGAGATTTCTGAAAGTAGGTAAAGAAAGAAAACAATGCAAAATACAGAATAACATACTGTAAGTCGTTTTAATTCCATGGTTTTAAAATTTCATGATATCTTGAGAAGCACCCTTTATGATGGTTTTAATTTCACGCTGCAAGAAATTAATTAAAATTTCGTATTAGCATTTATGTGTTTTTAAACACTTATAATAGCATTCATGATGTGTTAAATTTTGCGGAAAAATGATAAATCGAGAACATAGGGAAATTAAAACCATCATGATTGTTTGCCAATCTACAGTAATATCCTTGACTATCTTAAACTACATGGGAGCTAATGATATAAATGTCAATTAATCAGCTAATCCTAACTTTGAGAATATATTGGAAACTTTAAAATGAGACTAAGCTCTTATTTTCTGTCACAGTACCTATTGAAAATGTGGAGACAGACATTAAATGAGAGGACAGAGGAAGAGAAAAGGACGTTAAAGGGAAAGGAAGCAAGTGCCATTCATACACAGACTGTCAGCTATCTAAAGCCCCTATTTAGGAATCTCAAACACAAGGTACAATATACTGTCAGCTATCTCAAGCCCCTGTTGAGGAATCTCAAACACAAGGTACAATATACAGTCAGCTATCTAAAGCCCTTGTTTAGGAATCTCAAACACAAGGTACAATATACTGTCAGCTATCTCAAGCCCCTATTTAGGAATCTCAAACACAAGGTGCAATATACTGTCAGCTATCTCAAGCCCCTATTTAGGAATCTCAAACACAAGGTACAATATACAGTCAGCTATCTAAAGCCCCTGTTAAGGAATCTCAAACACAAGGTACAATATACTGTCAGCTATCTCAAGCTCTTGTTTAGGAATCTCAAACACAAGGTACAATATACTGTCAGCTATCTAAAGCCCGTGTTAAGGAATCTCAAACACAAGGTACAATATACAGTCAGCTATCTCAAGCCCCTGTTTAGGAATCTCAAACACAAGGTACAAGGTACAATATACAGTCAGCTATCTAAAGCCCCTGTTAAGGAATCTCAAACACAAGGTACAATATACAGTCAGCTATCTAAAGCCCCTGTTAAGGAATCTCAAACACAAGGTACAATATACAGTCAGCTATCTCAAGCTCCTGTTTAGGAATCTCAAACACAAGGTACAATATACTGTCAGCTATCTAAAGCCCCTGTTAAGGAATCTCAAACACAAGGTACAATATACAGTCAGCTATCTCAAGCCCCTGTTTAGGAATCTCAAACACAAGGTACAATATACAGTCAGCTATCTCAAGCTCTTGTTTATGAATCTCAAACACAAGGTACAATATACAGTCAGCTATCTAAAGCCCCTGTTAAGGAATCTCAAACACAAGGTACAATATACAGTCAGCTATCTAAAGCCCCTGTTAAGGAATCTCAAACACAAGGTACAATATACAGTCAGCTATCTCAAGCTCTTGTTTAGGAATCTCAAACACAAGGTACAATATACAGTCAGCTATCTCAAGCTCTTGTTTAGGAATCTCAAACACAAGGTACAATATACTGTCAGCTATCTAAAGCCCCTGTTAGGAATCTAAAAACACAAGGTACAATATAGTCAGCTACTAAAACTTTTGTGTTCAATTATTATAAAAAAGGTATATACGCATTTTTTTATTTACTGAAAATTTCGGTATAATTGATAGGTACGCGAACTCCTGTGCCTCAAACACATAGTTCAATATACAGTCAATTATGGCAAGCCCTTGTTTAGAACTTCAAAATACAAGGTACAATTTTTACCCTGGGGGCCAAATAAGGGAATGAAAAATACTGTCATCAGAAAGCAATATCATAAAAGTGGAATATGACTATGGATCTTGTTAGTATTTAAATATTAGAGGAAAAAAACCTCATCATTTTTAGCTCACCTGAGCCGAAGGCTCAAGTGAGCTTTTCTGATCACATTTTGTCCGTCGTCCGTCTGTCCATCTATCCGTCCGTCTGTAAACTTTTCACATTTTCGACTTCTTCTCAAGAACCACTCGGCCAATTTTAACCAAACTTGGTACAAAGCATCCTTGGGTAAAAAGGAATTTAAACTGTTAAACTGAAGGACCAAGTCCCCTTACAAGGGGAGATAATCAAGAAAAGACAAAAATAAGGTAGGGTCATTAAAAAATCTTCTTCTCAAGAACCACTGGGCCAGAAAAGCTGAAACTAATATGGAAGCATCCTGGGGTAGTGTAAATTCTAAATTGTTCAAATCATGACCCCCGGGGATAGGGCGGGGCCACAATGGGGAATCAAAGTTTTACATAGAAATATATAGGAAAAATCTGTGAAAATCTTCTTCTCAAGAACCACTGGGCCAGAAAAGATGAAACTTATGTGGAAGCATCCTTTGGTAGTGTAGATTCTAAATTGGTCAAATCTTGACCCCCAGGGGTAGGGCAAGGCCACAATGGGGAATCCAAATTTTACATAGAAATATAAAGGACAAATCTTTGAAAATCTTCTTCTCAAGAACCACTGGGCTAGAAAAGATGAAACTTTTTGAAAGCATCCTGGGGGAGTGTAGATTCTAAATTGTACAAATCATGACCCCCGGGGGTAGGGCGGGGCCACGATAGGGAATCAAAGTTTTACATTGAAATATATTGGAAAAATCTTTGAAAATCTTCTTCTCAAGAACCACTGGGCTAGAAAAGATGAAACTTATGTGGAGGCATCCTGGGGTAGTATAGATTCTAAATTGTTCAAATCATGACCCCCGGGGGTAGGGACATGTTATATATGTTTCAATTAATAAAGCAAGTTGCTTCCAAAAGATCGGTCATGATTTTAAGTAGGTATTTATTGTTTCCATGGAAACAAATCCTGCTGCAGTAATTCAGATATAATTATGTCAGTTTAAGTTTGAGTTCATCTGTTTTTGTCCCGGTAAATAAATTAATTAGAAGTATAAACAAACATTGGTGGCATTGCTATGAATTTTGTATACTGGTACATCAATACTTATTTGGATCATTCCTGAATTATCTGGTTACCATAGCAACTGTTTGTTTTTTTAAATTTTGAATTTCTAGTCTATTTTCATGTTAGTAAAATGACAAGGTTTATGGAATTTATTTTATTGAAGAAGACACATAATCGTGCAATAAAGCAGTAGATTTTGTATATAAAACATATCAATGAAAAGGATTTTCCTGAACTATTGGCTGCCTTAGCAACCATTTTTAAAAATAAATTATGAATTACAATCAAATTCAGTTTATTTTACTGAAAAAGAGAAAAAAAATAATGAATGAAGCTATAATTTTATTTGTTGTATACTTGTCAGTATAACAAAATCTGTGATAGCAACCAATATAAGGAATTGTTCAAAAACTATTTGGTTACCATAGCAACGTGATTTTAGACGTTTGAATTTTTATTTATTTTTCTTTGAAATGTATATAAGTGAAATAACAAATATAAAAGTTATCTATTTAAAATTGAAGAAATTAAATCATGCACTGAGGCCACAGATTCCGCATAATGACAACGTCAATAGCTATAGTGATTTTTCCTGACTTTTTGGTTGCTATAGTAACAAATTATTTTTGTTTAATTTATGAACTTACATATTTATCATAATATTGTAAAATTATGATGTTTAGTAGTGTGATTTGCTTTACTTTTGACCTTTTTAAAGTTATGATGCACAAAAAGGAGCCAAATGTTGAATCTACAAATTAATCCAAAATTTCCATAGCAACCATTTTTGTTTTCGTTTTATCTTATTTTAAGAAATAATACCTCTCTAGAAATTTTATATTTTGTTGAGTTAGGAATGACCTTTTCAGTGATGGTAGTTGTTTGTTATGGGTTGCCCGCGTTTTCTTGCTACTATGCTTAGAAAATGCCAAAAATTGGGGTTTTTTTCAAATTTGTAAAATTTTGAAAAATTCACTCTTTTCACTCTTTTATGACCAACTACTGAATAATTTCATCAGTTGTGGTAGTTACTCCAACAAATAGTCTATCAGAGTAGGCAAAAATTAAATCTGTAAATAATATACAGAAAGTAGAAATTTTTGATGAAGATGGTATACTTTCCGTAGGTTGCTCTGTATTTTTGGCCTCAAAATGGTGGTTTTGGTTACCATGGCAACCGGGACTCAAAATAAAAAATTAACCCCAATAATCTATACATGGTGTTTCTACATTGCATGCAAAAAATCATCAAAATCTGTGATGTACCATTTCCAAAATTTTTCTAAATTCTTTGATTCTTACAGAGAATGACTCTTAAATTTCATCGCGGCATGATGGATGATTCGTTCTCCCTTACTTGTAGATTTAAAAAAAAGATATAATAAAATGAAAAATTAATAAAAGAAAAGAGAGACGGAAAGAAAAAGATGAAAAACAACCCTGTATTCTCAACACATCTAATGATATCTGTACTTAATTTTTTTTTAAAATAAAAAATAAATACATGTACACTGTTACAAGTGAAGTTTCTTCTTTATTTTTTCCAATAATTTTATTATAGAATATAAAATAATTGGAATGGGTACAGAAGGTGTTCAGGGTAACAGCATGCATTTTAGAGACAAATATAATTAGTTCTTCAGCAGATGCGTCAGACTTAACGCAAAAATAATTTCAGTGACAGGAAGAGGGCATAGTCATTTTCTTCTACAACAAGGACATACATGTACAATACAAGAACTTCCTCTTCCTCTTTCGATCAGAATTTTTTATGTAGAAGGTTAGCACCTCTTATGTTATACGATTATTATTTGGGTTTTCTGAACCACAGCATTTATAATACAGCAAAATAAATCATCTTCTGGATTACTATTTGATAACAATGTGGGAAGATGACGACCATTTATGCAGACTTTTGGCGGACAGTTTATCAAACCCAGTCGGTTTTTTGCCAGTTCAAAGGTTGAATAGGCGTGTGGATGATATTTTGTCGGACATTCAGTATTATGGAAGAAACGTGGAGGTTGTTAAGACAGGGAGTTGGGCCGAGGGGTTCCGCATGCGTGGAATAGACGTTGATAGGATGTATATAGATAAAACTGCGATGGTATCAGAAACTCCAGATAGAATACCCAATAAGTTTTGTGCCATCAAAATCGACAAATATGCAGATATTCAAAGGGGATACGCAAAATTAATATTGCTCACTCCACACAAAGCAGAACAACACTTGCAATCGGCAGTGGTACGTGAATGTGGAACGTTGTACATATCAAGTAACGCGTATATAAAATCTTATGTAGGAGAAAACCAGAAAACACATGGGCCCTGTGTACTGAGAGTAGCGCAGCATGGAACGGAGCAGGATGACGCACACTGTTTAAGCTGCCCGCACTGGCCTTCTGATGCAATGGAATGGTACCACAGAAGAAGGCCACATGGATGGCCAGAGCGTCACTTAGTGAGGGACATATACAATAAAGGATGTCATGTGGTGCCCATTGGTCGTACATTCATTGACGGAAAAGGACTTTGGTGTGTTGACCCGATGTCTTGGCGATTGTCATTTTCAGTTGCAGAAAAGCGATTAGTTTATACATTTAATGATACACAGTTTTTGGTTTATGGCATATTCAAACTTTTAGTCAAAGAGGCATTCCGGGAGACCCGAAACGTTTTGTGTTCGTATTTCATGAAAACGGTTTTATTTTGGTGTATTGAAGAAACACCAAAGGAATGGTGGAGACAAGAACGCCTAGTTTCTTGTATAGAAATTTGCTTCAAACGATTAATTTCCTGGGTTTCCAATGGATGTTGTCCTAACTATTTTGTAAGAGAAAACAATATGTTTCTTGGCAAGCTAGATGAAGTGGAGCGTGAATCCCTTTTTATTCATTTGTCAGAGCTGTATGGAGAGGGTTGGAGGTGCCTCTTGACTTGTCCATCCCTAAACAACTTGAAAGAAGCCCTGCAAAGAGTAAGACTACAGATTCTAGAGGCCCCCTGCGAATCTTATGTCACTGACCCGGATGAGGATTTCAGACTATTGAATACTCGAACACGGAATGATTCTAATACACCAAAGGAAGATATCGAAGATGGCGCATTCTTCTCTCATTTGGAATCCATCGTTCAGGGTCACCCAAACTTCAGAGGTCTTGATAAAGAGTTTTTCAATGC